GACGAGTCAAGACACTGAGCCTTGAATGACTACCAACATGTAGCCCGCATGTTGGGACGACCTAAACCGAAACCTCGGAAGCCCTACTTGCTACAAGGAATCTATGACTGAACGATGCTGCTTTCTGTCAGCGACAACCTGCCCAAGTGCAGATGCAACGTCCTTATCAGCTTGTGTGCGTTGCTTTTGAGGAGACCGTCAGGGAGCCTTTGTTAGAAGCATACATATATATATATATATACTACAGGGCTCACGAGGACGAGGAAATGTGCTCGGTCCAGCATCCAGATTGGGGTCCCTCTTGTTCGGAGAGCCTCCCACCTACCTTCTCTGCCCAACTCCGATGCATTCGAGATGTGCTATCGACTCCTAGGTTGGATCTTCCGATAATCAAAGTAGCATGTTCACCAAAAGCTGAGGCCCCTTATCATAGAGACTTTATAGCATAACCTTTATTTATGGAAACCCTCAACAGAAACCCTTAAAGGAACCCTTTTCCAACTGTAACGGCCCTAGTATGACAGTCTTTGGCATGCCAGGGGGAACTACCTCGGCCCGAAGGCCTGGTGTCGAAGATTTAGGAGTGAACGTCCCTTGCGCAGCTTATCCCTAACCCCCCAGGTACCTACTATACAGGGTACTAGAGCCAGCCCCTAGGGCCCTATATAGTAGGTACCTGGGAGGCTAGGGTATGTGGGGTTTATAGGGCTTACGGATTAGGGTGTAGGGTTTGGACGGCTCCTTGCTGTCGTATCATCCCGGGAAGCCGAGGATGGGTGTGGAAAAGGGTATCTGAGTATGGGAGTTGCTTCCGACTGATATGGTTTTTTCCGAAAATTTGGGTACCTTGTTTTGGGGTCCTTATAATAAGGATCCTATTATTTAGGGTACTATATTAGGGTCCCCTATTTTCGGAAACCCCCATATGGATCGGATGCTAGCAAGACCGTGCCAAGGACTAGCAAGTAGCAGGCAGGGAGCCGAGGTTACCTTGAGGCCTCGGCCTGAAACTTGTTCCGCGACAGCTGCTGCAGAGTTGCTAATACTGTATTCTGTGGTGAAGATAATAATGCCTAATTAGCTGTCATCTAGCTGAAGTTCTGAAGGTGCTGAGGAAAACCTAGCAAGGGACTTGCAGTACTTTTTTTTGCACCAATAGCCAGCCGAGAAAGAATGGCTAAGCGCCACAAAGACCTCCATGAAGGGTACATTGGGGTGTCCCGGACGAAAGCTCCTCGCAGGGTGGACGGCTTTTGGCTGAGATGGTAGATGAGCGTCGTGGCCATATTACGATGCTAGCATGTGGGGAACTACCCTGAGGCTAATGGTCTGCGTGAGGTTGTGTGGCTGTGTTTGTGTTTTATGATCTTCGGGCAGAAAGATTTAGCTGGATGGTGAACAGTGCTTTGCATTGAGTGTCCGAGCTTTAAGGCGGAGGGTTTGGGAGGTTTGTTTCGGTGTTCATGTCACCCAGCCGCCGACAGAACGAAGAGGTATGCATGTATGTGTGTAAGTGTCTATGTATGCATGTATATATGATATATGTAATTGATGAGGTATGTATGCGTATAAGTATGTATATGTATACATGTCCGGATGCCGAGGCTGCTGCAGCAAGCTGGACCGGGAGGCACTTGGCAGCTCTTTGCAAGACCGATGAAAGCGAGGAGGGTTATCCGTAAACAAGTTACGACTTCCAGAGTCGATGGATAGTTTGGGCGTTTAGGGTTCAGGGTTATGGATATGATTTCATCTTGACCATCTTAGTCAAGCCGGCTGTAGGCTTATGACTGCTTTTCCCAAGACTGCTTTCCCCAAAAACCCAAAATCACTCGCAGAGTGGAAAATGCTTCGAGGCTCCACCAGCCTTCGCATCTTGGACGTCTCAGCTTGTGCTTTGGCTTGATAAGGGCCACTGTAGGAGTTTGATCTCTGGCGTGAAAGCCGTTCCGGTGCCGTCGAAGGCAGCGGAGTGTTCGAGGAATAGGCCCGCAGATTTTACTTGGTCATCGTTTTATCGCGCTTTTAATCTGACAAACAGCATAGTACCGGCATGTTTGCAGAATGAATGAGTCTCATCATGTTCGGTTTTTGCTAGCCTGTTGTTGTGCCAGGCCTGGGGTGAGTCAACTGTGAGCATCGGATGGGCTCTTTGTGTATTCTATTTGCATTTGTGTTCGGCCTGTAGCGGCTCCTGACGCAAAACCACTCGAGACATGGTTCCAGGTGGTTCCAGTTCAATAGTGTAGGAAATTGAAGCTGCTTCTTCCTCTACAGCAAGCGAACGATTAAACCCGCTCTTCGGGCGCCGGCTGCCCCAAACAGAGCCTTCGCTTCTTTCGACGGTCCTTGTACTGTAATGACCCTCCGAGCGAGCGAGTGATGCTCTTCGTCGGATCTCCCACATCTCAAGCGGCCTGCTCCCTTGCTGCTAGACAACACATGTATGTTCTTAAGAAACCATGGAGAAGTTGAAGAAGGTCAGGAATCAGAGAATGACCGACGCTGCTTACCATTGCACCCAAGTCTAGTAGAAGCATAGTCCACGTATTACTACCAACATAAACACAGAGAGATGCAGTATCAAGCTGGCCAGACCACATCCTTTATAGGAAGACACCAGCGAAAGCTTCTTTCCGCAAGGCTCCATTGGCTCCGGCTGCGTTCGCCAGCTTGCCCAGGCCCGCTGGGGCCGAATGAGAAGCTAGCGTCCGGCCTTCCGGACGCCTTTGCAAAGATAATTCTACGAGATTCTACGAGTTTGTGTTAAAAAAGATTTCTAAACTTTGGCCCATGTGCTGGAATGGAGTAACTAGGGCTGAAGAAATGCTGGAGCGACTTCTGGGTCCAGTTGCCTCTGCACACGGAAGCCTACGAGTTTTGCGTCCTGGAGGTGACTGGGCTAAAGTCCATCTACTCCCGGACAATGGCCTCATCCCAGCCGCATGAATGCCAAGTCGGAAATTGTCTGACATTTCGGATACAGGCAAACTCGAGCTGCCCGCACAGAACCGCCTAGAATATTTCAGAGCATCCACCGTGATGTTGGGTGCGCATGCAGCCTTCCTGCATGCCTTGCAACATGGTATCCATATGACTATACGAGGTTAGCTTTAGACTGTCAGCATGCCTGTTGACTTAGGCTACGGCTGGCAGTTATGGTGTTGAGGGATAAACTGCCCAGTTGTGTCGGGTCCAGACTTCTTGATAATCTCTGCACTTTGTGATGCAAGTGTCTCTGTGCTTGTAGGTGTTGTATATATATATATATACACCTACATATCTTTGTGCGTATTAATATATGTACTAAAATCAGAACATGTTGCGTGTATGTGTATATATAGGGAGAGAGAGAGAGAGAGAGTTTTACTACGTGTAGACGTCTTGTGATGTTCTTTGCTGACTAGCTTGTGTTTGTTCTAATTATTCGCTGACTGCACTGAAGGCAAGGAGCACCATTGGTCAACGTGGCGGACAACTTCGAAACAGAAGAGCCTCCGTCGGCATTATGCGGGAACTTACCCTCAGATTAGGTCGGTTAGGTGTTCTCAGCAAGGGGGCACTCGCGCAAAACTTGTCCTGATTTGGATGCGTGCCGCTGCTGGACACCTCGGTTTTGAATTTTGAGAGGGCAACATGGCCGTGAAGCCACCGAAGCTGCAAAAGGAGCTCTGGAATGCGATCACGCACGGCATGATGTTCTTCTTGTGGCCTGGCTAGCTGGACAGTAAAGGGAGCAAGTGGTGAGTTTATTTGTTTTGTCAGCCGCATCACCGGGACCATGTGGTATGTAAGAAGCTGAGACCATGCAATGGGTTCTTGTGTTGGCATCTTCAAAACCGTTGGGTGAAGTTCTCTCCGGGAAAGGATGCTAATGTACCATAACATACTGTAACATACTAGATCATACGAGTGTATGCTATATGATAAAGGCTATGGTGTACTATGGTGTACGATAATGATATTTCATAAACTATATTATCCAAGTCGCCGACCTTTTAGACCAGTTGAGCGCCAGCTTGTCCTCTTCAGTCAAGTCAGATCCAGGCCCCGTTCTGTCATGACTTCTGCTATAGTGGCCTTCTTTGTAGCCTTATAGTGTGTAGGGTTTAGGGTTTCTTATAGTACCCTCATGGTGGCCTTCTAGTTGTTGCGGTCTTGGGCTTTAACCCCCTAACCCATGGAGCAGTGACATGGCCGGTGAGGCAGGAGAGAGCCCCTAAGCCCCATTATAAGCCCTAGTTCTACGCCCTAGACCTAAACCCTGAACCCTGAAGCCCTAGTATAGGCCCTACCTCTACACTCTCCAGGCCCTGAGCCCGTCTTTCCTGAAGCCTGAAAGTCCCTTCCCTTCATTCATTGACATCCAGTCCAAGGCGACCTGTATAATATCTTAGGCGTTTAGGGATTAGGGTATGTGGGGGTAGGGTATGCAGGGTATATGCGGTGTAGGGTTTAGGGCTTATCGGGTTTAGAGTGCATGCGGTTTAGGATACCCTTAAGCAGCAGGACCTTGCGTGAGGTTTCAGCATGTCGTAAGTTTACAGCCAACAGGACTGCTCTACGCATCGTGACTCTAAAACCCGTCCGTGTGGCTTCTCCGTTCGCCTTGAACGGTGTATGGGCTGGTCGAAAGGAAAAGAACCCTTATACAGAGCCCTGCGTAGCATTAGTAGGATCCATTGTATAAGTACCCCCCCCCCCCCCACAAATCAGGTCCCCTACTTAGTCCTTAGCTTTGTCAAACTTCAA